CCCCAAAACCCCAAAACCCCAAAACCCCAAAAGGTAATTTAAAAAAATGTTAACATTAGGGGAGTTAATCATGAATAAATAAATTTTACAAAATAATATAGAAATGAATAATCCGAAAGCCAAATTTCTCATTAATTAGAGAAGTGCTGGGATGTTGCCTTAGCTTAGAGATAATGGACCTAAGAAGTCACTCTCTGAATTAAAAGATGATATTGAAAGTGGGAATACTGATGGTTTTAAACTTACAAAAGAAATCGTTGATTAACTACTAGATGATAATAATAACAAAATGTACGATGTTAAACTTAATTAGGAGAGCGTATAGGATATTACAAATGAGGAGAGAATTCACAGAATTGAAATCAAACTCAAGAATCAGTATGTCGAGAAACTCAAAAATACTTTCAAGAAAATGAGGAATAATAGTAAATTCGAGTATGCGCCGAATACTAATTTGTCTTTTATTGGATCAAAGATAATCAAATAAAAGCAGAAGCTGTATTAGGAAAAGCCATTGAATTATCTTTAGAAATTGGAAAAGCAAGAGGAGAAAAGGATTGAGTTGCCGTTGGATGTTTCTATTTTAAACTTACACTCTAGTGCTGAGAGGAAAAAAAGTAATATGCAGTTAGTTGAAACCCCTAGACAAAAAAAGCTGAACCATTATAATAATCATAGCTTCCTTTAGATAGATTTGGATAATATGAAATCCAGACTAAAAGAGCTCATGGATGATGATGAAGAGGATGATGATTTGAAACGAAATTAAGACAATCAAAGTTCAGGCAGCAAATTGAAAGATTATAATAAGATTCTGGATTAGTTTGATTCATTAATTAGCAAATATGAAACTGACGATGATGATCAACAGGATGATAAAGATTTTCAAGAGCATGTTGACAAACTCATGGCTAAGCTTTCTACTAACCATTAAACATTTTTTAAGGAAAAATTACTTGAACCATTTTACGAAGAAGATGAGAAATATAAAACTTCTGTGTTCAGGAAAATTTAGTCTATTAACACAAATTATGATAAAATTATAAAAAAGATTAGCGAAAGAACTATTCATTAGACTTATTTAAGTGAGATCCTAAACAAATAAATCCAAGATAAAGATATGAACTTAAGGAAGAAGTCCAGATCAGTTTTACCATCGATCATAACACCAAAAATGATAAGTAACTCTGATTCATTGATTACAAGAATTCATTAGGAAATGCTTCAAATAAAGCAGACAAATAAAGATGCAACTAGCGTGCTACGAACAAAAGGAAGTTCTGAATCTAAATTATCTCCAAGGAAAGATCTTAATGATTCAAAGTTCCCTGATATTTCCCATAGAGATTCCTCACTAGAGAAAAACAATGGAAATGTATTGGAAGGAAAAGCATTAAAGAAGCAAACATCTAATCCAACCATCTTAATTGATGACAGGAACTAGATTGATGAGGAAGAGTATGACAATGATGAAGATTTAAACTTTGATCATGAAGAGGATCCCAAAAAGTCATTAGATAAAGAAAAGAAAAGCTAGAATTTTAATTCTGAGAGAACTTCAAAGGTAACATCAAATGGAAAAAGTATGATGTATGATTCAAGAGGTAATTTTCACAAGAAAATTGACCCAAATACCAGGCAACTTTACAATAAAGATATAGCTTTGAATTTAGGCTTGGATGAAGATTTAAGAAGGTCGAGAGAATATTCAAATAAAAGTTTCAGAACTAATCTTTCTTAGTCAATTAGAATTCAGGGAATGAGAAGTACTTATAAAGCCAAATTTGCAGAAGCTACAGCTCAAGTAAATTTTTAAACCCCAGTTTCTGAAACTAGAAAATTTGATGTATAAGAGAGTTAACAACAGCAGCAATAATTAAACAATGGGAATGCATTAGATAATTCAGCTGAAAGGAAGTAATAGTATATTTTACCTCGAGCAAATTTTGAATTACCAAATTCTTAGCTTAATATGATCTCATAAAATTCTCTTCACAAAAGAACCAAAACAAATATAGCTGCTAATTACAGCGCTTTAAAGCTCATCTAGAATTAATAAATAACTCAAAAAAGTAAATAGTCTAGTTAAGATAAATCAGTATTTAAATTCGACGACCATTTTAACAGAACCAATCAAAGTCTCACAGGAAATCCCTCTAAGACTGGCAATTGCTAGTAACTTGTAGATCAATCTACAAATGATATAGTCAGTTCAAGATTCTTGCCAATTATCCACAAAAATTAAAATGGAAATACTGTCGACTATTCGTCTCTGATTATGGAATAGACTTAGGAGAACTTACAGGCAAAAAATTTCACAAAACATAGAAGCAGACAGTTTAAGACTAATTAAACTATCCTTGCTTAAAAGTACAAGAAGCCCCAGAAAATAAAGTAAATAGACTCAAAGTTTGATGGCATGATATTGATAAAGCCATAGTTATCTCCTAGAGACTCAAACATAATTAATCACAATTCTAGTGTTGTCATAGATGGATTGATGCTGCAATAAGCTAGCTTTGATAGAGATAGGGATGAATAAATTCCATCTAGTTTAAAAAGTAAATCTAAACTTCTAACTAGAAAGCTTTATGACTAGTCTGTGCTCTCCAATTAAAGAAATGAGAGCGGAGATATTAAGCTGAAATCACCAGCTCTAAGTCCTAGAAATATTAATTTATGAACACTATTATATAGGTCAAAATATTGCAGTAAAATGTAGTATTTACTTAAGTTATTAATTATCATCACAAATATTAAGTTTGAATGTTGTTTTATGGGGTTTTGGGGTTTTGGGGTTTTGGGG